TATACCATACTGTTAATGATATTCATATTTAAGCTCCACCCACACTAATTAATTAACTCACCAGCCATGACTTCTCCTTCCCAGTGATATCCTCTTCACTGAATATATCCAGTACAACTGCTGTCTTCATGGCACTCAGTCCTGTCTTTATCTCTTTGACCTCATCTTCACTCATCAACTGATCATCAGTTCTTAATACTGGAGGAACATCACCTGTGGAGAGCTTCCTTTCTGCCTATTAATAAATATAATATTATTATTTCCTTTCATTACTTATTTCTGTTAATCCTACAGTATGCTCTTCAAGTTTTTATTATAATAATTAATAATAATAGTTATTATTATTATTATTATTATTATTACCATATACATGTAGCTAGAAATTTCTGTGGCCCAAAATATCTGCTAATTTTGAGGATTTGGAAAAATCACAGAAATTTCATCCTCAAAATTTCGGTACACAATGCATTGGCCTAAAAGGCATGGTGAATTCGCAAAAATAAAGTCCATAAGAGCCATTTTGATGGCAAATCGTAAAAATTTTTGGCCACAAAAATTTCTACAGTAGCTATACAGTTTTATTATTATTGTACTGGGCACAATTTGAATTGAATGGAGATTACACTACACCTTCTTATTAGCAGCTGATAAATCAGTATCACACTACGTGAATGTAAACATTGAAGGGGCAAGCATGAGCCATCAATTGATATTGTTTGTTTAAAATAAATAAAACAATCCAGCTCTTAGTCTACCTCTGAGGAGATACGTCACTAAGAACCAAAGCTATACTTCTAATCAAGCTTCTCTCACAATCGTAATTCTGTCAATGAGAGGACTAATCTAGAGGAGTCTTAGGTCAAACTGCTATTAAAAGTTCTTTAGCCTTTAGAGATGCTTTAGATAGCCCCTTTCTCTTATCTAGCAGTTAGAAACTCAATCTGAATTTTGAATTTGTCCAGTTTAAATGCTGCCATCTTGTTCATTGTGATCACACCCTTGTACTGCCCAAATTTGTCCACTTGGTCCAAATGTATACTAATATATAAATCATTTTCATCCATTCAAAAACAAAAGGTAAGGCAAACAGATATAGATTAGAGTGGATCTCACTCATGCTCACCCCAATAATGATTTTATATTTTCACAATAATTATAAAATAGAGAATATAAAAAACACTCATTATTTTTAATAAACAACAAGTCGCTCATTACCATGATCACAAATATACAAGAATCCATCTTTATCAAATGCTAATCCAAAAGGACGATTAAACTGATCAATATTACTGCCTTGACTTCCAAACTTTCTAACAAACACACCATCACGAGTGAAGACTGATATACGATTATTGCCCTCTTCACTAACATACACTAGACCAGTAGCTGCAGTGTCTATTGTTATACCTA